TGAAAAAGCGAATTCAGAGGAATCATAGAGATTGTAACTCTCGCATATTGAAATAATAAACGATTGTTGTATAATTTTTCGTTCTTGATTATTGTTTTCTCGACGCGAATTTTATTGTCTACAAAGACATACGGACAATATAAAGGAATCTTTGCAGTATTAAATTACTCAAAATATAATTACATGAAACCAAACAAATCACTTGCAAATTTTTCTTTGTCAAATTTAGCATTGATAGAACCACATAAAAGTTTGTAAATTACAAAAATGATGTTTGTTTTTAGGAATAGTCAATGGTATTGTGATCAAACCGCTCTTCATAAGCTGTGGAAGTTTGGTATACCGATCACATGTGAAAATATTTACCAAGAAAATAGTGAATTTGTAATCAGGTTAATGATACGTGTTTTCGTGTAATTAGGTCCCGTTGAGATTTTAGATCGGCAAGTTTGGAGGTTGAGAAATAAAGAGGTTGCTTTGGGGCAGGTTCTTTGGAGGAATCAATTAGTTGAGGGTGCTACTTGCGAGATCGAAGTCGATATGATATCCCGGTATCCTCATCTCTTTTCCTCCCCTCGTACTCTAGCTTGAGGTATTAGCTCCTCATGGTTCATTCTTTTGGATGCGTCTTAATTAGTTATTCTCATGTTTCCATATGCATGCATGTTCATGAAAACTTGATTTTGATGTAATGATTTAGCTTGGAGTGGTTCTTCATGTTTATGTGTATTTTGAAGAAATTACATTTATCTTGGATTGTTAGTTTCTCTTCTAATCTATTCATGCTAGCTTGAGTCTCATTCGAGGACGAATGATCCCAAGAGAGAGACATTGTAACACTTGAAAAAAGAAAAGTTGCATTTTTACCACTGATCCAAATCTATGGGTATTGTTTACGGACTGTAAAAGGTTTTATGGTCTGTAGTAGGGAGCCGTAGAAATGGTCTTGAGGATTTCATGATTTGGGTTTCTGACTTTTCCTACGGATCATCATGAAGGTCTGTAGAAAGTTCTACTGCCCAAGAAAAGTGGTCGTAGAAGGAGTACCCAATCATAATTAAAAATTTGTTTAACTTTTGGGTCTACGAAGTGTTGTGCGAGTCGTGTAAGTTTTGACAGGTCGTAGACGTATCTCGTGAAAGTTGATTTTAGACTTGGAAGGATTTTGGTTCATAGGCTCTACGGTTGGATTTACGGTCCGTGAAACCTTCGACGGGTCGTAAAGTTGTCTCGTGGAAATGATTCAAAAATTTGGGCCCCCAGTATCCAGTTCGAAGGATGACCAGTACAGTCTGTAGAAATTTATACGGACCGTAGATCAATCCGTAAGACCCCTCCGATAGTTTTAAGTTAGGGGTATTTGTATCTTTTCCTATGCATTTAATGCCTATACTACATCATTTTACCCCTTATTCTAAGCCCTATAACTACCCTTTACCCTTTGAAAGCTGCCTAACTCTCTCATGTAATAAAATTCTCAAACCCTCTCTAAGGCTTTCTCCAAAATCCTCTCTCTAGATCAAGAAAGAAGAAACTAGGGTTCTTTAAGTTCAAGTCTCCATCCTTCATCAATTTCTTAAGGTTTCAAGATCAAGGTATGTAGGGATTTAATCGATGGGTTCCATTCACCCATTGAGTCCCAAAGATTCTCCAATTCAATTTTTCTTAAATTGGTTAGGTTTCAATTTAATTCCTCATGAGTTCTATTTGTATGGATTCAATGTTTGATTTTGATCATTTAGATTCTATCACATGTTCTCTAATCAATTCCATATGAACTCATGCATTGATCATGAATTTTGACTATGAACCCTAATTTGCATGAATTTGAAGAAAGAGTATGAATCAATGAATGATGTTTTCATGAACTTATGCATGATTTAGGAAAATGAATGTCTTATGATCTAGGTTGATTTAAGATCGACATCAATTCAAATGTGAAAGACTTTTTCACATTAAGGGATCATGGTTTAGTGAAAGGTTTTCTCACTCATACATGATCAAGATTAAAGGAGCTATTTTATGACTTTTTTTTAGCTTGAATTAGTAACTTAATTGTGCTTTTCCATGGATGATGATATGCTTATGTTTATGACTACTTCCATTGGGATTTTTACTTAACATCGAAAGAATATTGAAATGGAGGCTCTCCCTTAGTAGATGCTAGATCTCTAGTAGCAATCTATTGTCCCTAACTACGTGTCCCCATAGGTTGTCTTAAGTGACAGAGCAAGTGGATCCACCTAAGCTAGAAGTTAAGGTTCTTGCCTTGACAAGTAAGGACATCTCTTTTTCGGTGGGGAGCAAGACACCGAATTCCACGTTATAGCGCACGTGGTCTATGTCGGTAATAGTAAATATCCAATAAAATGAATAAACTTAACTTCAAATGTTTTAAGAAGTTTTCCTCATGATTCTTAGATGCATTGACCATGTTCATGATTATGATTCTTCTTTAAAGATTTTACTATGTTTCGCTTGGCCATGCACATCATGTTTTTGATTATATCCTCTTATGATCATGTTTTATATTTTCATGCACATCCCTCATACTTAGTACATTTCATGTACTAAAGCATATTGGTGCCTACATTGTTTCACTAATGTAGGGCTTGACGACTCTCCACCCTCTGCTCGTGGCTAGTTGATCATCTTAGAGATTGAAGACATGGTGAGTCCTCATACTCTGAGGACGACGTCATCTTTATTGCTTTCTTATGTCCCTTATGTTTGAATGTATACGTCTCGACCACTCTTTTTGATGTGATAAATGGTTTATCAAGACTATGTTAGACTTTCGCTTTTCAAATGTCAAACTCTTCTATTTGATATACAATATTTTACTTTTTGTCTATTACTGTGTGTATATGTATGTCAAGTAGCTTGTGTAGGGTCTTACAAGGTCTTATACGTCATATCATGTCTAAGATGTACTTTGGATCGTGACAATTACAATATTTTGAAACATTGTTAAAGTAAATTACAAAAATTACTTTACGTATTGTTTTGATGTAAAATGTCAAAGGAATTAGTTTGGAAATTAAGTTCAATTACTAAAGTAGATTACAGAAATCACCCCATGTATTGCTTTGATGTAAAAAAGTCAAGGGAATTAGTTTGGAAATTAATTGCAATTATTAAAGTAAATTACAAAAAATCAATATACAGAAAATGATAGCAAGAGAATAAAGTTGAATATATTTAAACTCAACCCACCTAGTTCCGCATTAATTTTTTTAAAAAAAACTTATTTCAACCGATCTTACATTTGGATACTCAAAAATTAGTCCCGTCCCACATAAACTAAAATCTTCCTTGCTCCGCACAATTATCATCCCTATTGAAACTAGATGGATGAATAAATTGAAATTCACATATGCCAACTCATAATTGTATTTTGTAATGATAATAAATTTGAAGAACTATTATTCATCCTCTTTATTTTACTTTTTGATTATTTTAATATTATTTATATTATAAAATATTTATAGTTAACATATAATAAAGCATATAATATCATTAATTAAATATTTAATTCATAATTATTTTCTAATGTAATATATTTATTATATTAATTTTATTGTCATATTAATTTATAATTTTAATTAATGAGGTTCCATAAAAAAACATTTGAGATATTTCTCCATGAAACAAAAATTATGTCGAAAAGATATTGAACATGCATTCGGAGTTTTGCAATCGCATTTTGCAATTATCACATGACTGTCATGTTTTTTGGAAAAGCAAATGTTACATGATACATTTACTACATGTATTATATTGCACACCATGATAAATGAGGATGAGCTTGATTTGAATGCACCTATTGAAGATACTTCGAAAGCTCCAAGTGCAACAATAGAAATAGTGGTAGATGAAAATCTCTAATTTGAACAATTTTTTGCTTGACATAAAAAAAATTAAGAACAAAAATGCTCATTTTGAATTCCGTAATATATTAATAGAACATTTATAGGAGCAACATAATAATCTTGAAAATTGAATATTTATGTAAAATTTAAAATAATTTTTTATGATGATATAATACTTATGTAATTATATTGATTAATGATTTCATTTTTATTTGAATTGTTTATTAATATGTAAAATATATGATATATGCTTTGCAATTTATGTTATTTAGAAATCTAGGATAAAATATAATTTTAAATTATATAAAGATTTTGAAAAGAATAAAACTTTTCATCACATGAAGGTTACAACAAGAAAATAAAAATAAAAATAAAAATTAAATAGTATTATATTGAAAAAAGAAGATTTTCTTTTATATCATTTTAAATAAAGAATTGGATTAAAGTTAATTATCTCTAAATATAAAGAATCTCTATATTTATACTTTATATATTTACTATTTAGAGAGTAAAATGATACTTCTTTCGTTCCATTTTATGTGAGTTAGTTTTACATGGCACATAGTTTAAGAAAGAAATGAGGATTTTTAAAATTTGTGGTGCAAAATAAATGATAGAAATTTGTGTGACTATAAATTATTTCATTAAGAGTAAAATATATATTTTATAATTAAATTGTTATTTAATATAAAAATTCACTTTTTTTAAAATTAATTAAAAAGAAAAATAAATCAAATTAAAAAAAATAAATTACATAAATTGTGACGGAGAAAGTAGTAGAGTACTAAATAGGTAAAAGTATAAAGAATAAGAGAAATAGTTGACTAGTAAAATAGTACTTCGTAGAGTTGTCCACCTTTATTGATTGAGAAAATGAGTAGTAGAATATAGGGTGGACACTCCAGGTACTTGTCTACTCATCTATCTCTCTCTAATTATTATTATTATTACTCTCTACTCACTTATTTCTACCTTTTCACACTCTCAATTACTGGTACTCGAAATCCATGCACATCTGTTGCTGATGCATTTCTACATCTCTCTCTGTGTGTAGCTTAGCTACATTTATTTACTTCTCCTCCTCTCTCTATCTATCTACTAGATCTCCTTCTCTACCACCACACCACCATGCTTCCTTCTTTCTATTTCTTCTTCCTCCTCCTCTTCTCCGTCTCCGTCTCCGTCTCCGCCAACAACCGTCGGGTTCTTCATCAGCCATTTTTCCCACAAGATTCACATCCACCTTCTTCTTCACCTCCGTCAGTACCCAGTACCTCTACTACTCCCAAATACCCTTTTGATTCTTCTTCTTCTACTCCTAATAACAACACTCCCTTTTTCCCCTCTTTCCCTTCTACTCCTCCACCTCCACCTTCCCCTTCTGCTTTTGCTTCTTTTCCTGCTAATATTTCTTCCCTTATCCTTCCTCATTCATCCAAATCCAAAACCATTTCATCTAAACTCATTGCTACTGCCATCGCCTCTGTTCTTGCTGCTATTCTTCTTATCTCCATTGCTATCTTCTGCCATAGAAGAAGAAATCAAGATTCTAATGATAACAAAACACACAGATCTAATAGCAGCACTAGATTCAATAATCCTAACCCAACTAATATTCCTAAATTACAAAGACCATCTCAGACCAGTTCTGAATTTCTATACTTGGGTACTATGGTTAGTGCACATACTTCCATTGATACACACAATCGTCGTGCTACTGCTGCACCTTCAAGAAAAATGGACTCACCGGAGATCCACCCATTGCCGCCATTACATGGACACAGTTTGCGTAGGAATGCAGATGTTATCTCCCGTACAACTGAAGATGATGAGGAGTTTTACTCTCCAAGAGAATCTTTAGATGGCAGAGGAAGTTCGATCGGAACTGGATCCGCATCGCGTAGGGATTTTGCCGCCGTTGAGGTCAAGAATTTTGCTGGGTCGACCTCATCGTCTTCATACTCCTCTTCCAGTTCCGATTCGGGCTCACCAGTTAGGTCTGTATCGTTGAGCATTTCTCCACCGGTGAGTTTGAGTCCAAAAAATTCACAGCCCAAGTCACCGGAACTACTTGCTGTTCGTACTGCTCCGCTACCTCAGTATCATTCTCATTCGTCTCCGCCGCTAGCAGATTTTGTACCTATATTGGTCATTAACGGGGAATCTGATTCACCATCTCCGCCCAGTTCATCATCTCCGGAGAGATATTCAAGCAGGAGTATTGACTCATCACCCAGAATTTCCGATGTTTGGGATCAGAATGTTGAATCTCCAATGAGAATCAGCAATCACATACATCAGAATGAATCAGTTTCAGTTCCTCCACCACCACCGCCGCCTCTTTTGATTAGTATTCCGGCTTGTGTACAGCCTCCTCCACCACCACCACCACCGCCACCTCTTTTGATTAGTATTCCGGCTTGTGTACAGCCTCCTCCACCACCACCACCACCACCACCGCCACCACCAGTTAAAAATTGGGATAGTCCAAAAACTCCAACACCACCAATTTCAAAGCCACCATCCAAGCCTCCAGTTCTTGTAACTCCTTTAAGACCCATAGAACTTGAGAGTCCAGTGCTGATTTCCCCAATGGAGTTGCCTTGTAATAAGCAACCCATTGAGAAGATTGAGCAGAGTATAGAAGGCTTATCAAGTGATACTGGTGGGAACAACGATGAAACTCCAAAACCAAAGTTGAAGACTTTGCATTGGGATAAAGTAAGAGCTAGTTCTGATCGGGAAATGGTGTGGGATCAACTGAAATCAAGTTCGTTTAAGTAGGATAATCTAAACACTTTGTTACACTTGTTACATATATTAAATTCTTCTCTTTTTGGTCGGGCAATTAAAGCTGAACTGATTTGTTTGCAGATTGGATGAAGAGATGATAGAAAGCTTGTTTATTGTGAAGACTCCAACTCTAAATCGAAAAGAAATGACTAGACGCCCTGTTCTTCCCTCGCAGAGCCAAGAGAATAGGGTACTTGATCCAAAGAAGTCACAGAATATTGCAATTTTGCTAAGAGCACTAAATGTAACTGTTGAGGAAGTATGTGAAGCCCTTTTAGAAGGTATTCTGCTACTCTGTTATTCTCAGACTTGAAAATTTAAACTGAAATATGACTGGGATGATAGTAATGCCAGATTATTGTTGCCTAATTGCTCTAGTTCTACATAAAAGATCTTCTGCAGGGTTACATAATACTGAATTGTCATTCAGTTCACATGTGCCGTTGTTATAGAAGAATTGATATGCATTGATCTTGAAACGTAAATTAACCAACAGAGGTTAGGGGTTTTCCAGATAAAATTCTCAAACACCATACGTTGTTCATCATATGCATTAATCTTTACTAGTATGAATGAATACAGTGTAGACATTCACATTGTTTTAGAAGGTAACTGATAGCTGACTAGTTTAGAGGTGTTCATAGGGTTATGTGGCTTTTGCTCATGGATATCAGGGTATTAATAATTAGGCTAGAGCATCATCTTATTTGGTTTGTGGTTGCTTATTGGTGTACATCGTTCCCAAACCATGTCGACAGCTTTACCTTTTGGGTTTTCTGCTGTTTGCTGCTTTTTATCTTCAATAGGATGATCCTTTCTCTATTTTTCTTTTTAGTGTGCAAGTGTATCGAGAATTTATGATGTCTCTGCTTGTAGAAATTAAGTACATTCTTTTTTCAGGAAATGCTGATGCCCTAGGGACTGAGCTCCTTGAGAGTTTATTGAAGATGGCTCCATCCAAAGAAGAAGAACGCAAACTGAAAGAATATAAAGATGATACTCCGTTTAAGCTTGGGTCAGCCGAGAAGTTTCTCAAAGCAGTGCTTGATATACCTTTTGCATTCAAAAGGGTAGATGCTATGCTGTACATATCAAATTTTGATTCTGAGGTTGACTACCTCAAAAAGTCATTTGAAACTCTGGAGGTAATTATTTCAGGTCATCTTCAACTTCTCGCTGTATATTGAATTCTCTAATAACTAAACAGTTCTGATTTTGATTTGATAGAAGGAAGGTTTGTGCAAGGGTTTTCTGTTTGACATGGTGAATAAGTAAATATGCTGGTACCCTATGTTGCTCGGACTCACATAGCTGGTACCTATGACAAATGAAACTCAAAAATAGCCTTATCTGATTTTGGAAGGAAGTGCTGTAGCATCAGTATTATAGGACATCTAATTGTTAGACTGGAAAATAATCATTTTTTTCATCTTGAACTGTCTGAACTTGATACTCTTGTGCTGAAGTTGGCATGTGTTTCTCTCTTGAACTGTGGAACTGCATGCTAACTGGACCAGTTCAAGTATTCATACTCTGTTTCTTATTATGTCACATAAACCAATAGAAGAAAAGTCTTCTTAATATATTTGAACCTTATAAAGCTTTGCTACTTGACAGGCTGCTTGTGAAGAGTTGAGAAGTAATAGAATGTTCTTAAAGCTTCTGGAAGCAGTGCTGAAGACTGGTAACCGCATGAATGTTGGGACAAATCGGGGTGATGCACATGCGTTCAAACTAGATACCCTCCTAAAGCTAGTAGATGTGAAGGGAGCTGATGGGAAAACAACCCTCTTGCATTTTGTGGTACAGGAGATCATAAGAAGTGAAGGTGCTCGTCTTTCTGGTGGAGATCAAGATCAACAGTCGGCCATGAATGATGACGTCAAGTGCCGGAAGCTTGGCCTCCAAGTTGTTTCAAACCTTAGTTCAGAGGTTGTAAATGTTAAGAAAGCTGCTGCTATGGATTCAGAAGTGCTTCATAGTGAGGTCTTAAAGCTTTCTAAAGGGATTGGAAACATTGCTGAAGTTGTCCGATCAATTGAAGCAGTTGGCTTGAAGGAAAGCAGCATAGAAAGATTTTCAGAGTCTATGAGAAGGTTTATGAAAATGGCAGAAGAGGAGATCATAAGGCTCCAAGCTCTAGAAAGTGTTGCCATGTCCTTGGTGAAAGAAATAACTGAATACTTCCATGGAAATTCAGCGAGAGAAGAGGCTCACCCTTTTAGGATCTTTATGGTGGTAAGAGACTTCCTAATGGTTCTTGATCGCGTTTGCAAAGAAGTTGGAATGATAAATGAACGTACAATAGTCAGTTCTGCCCACAAGTTTCCAGTTCCAGTAAATCCAAATCTACAGCCTGCCATTAGCGGGTTAGCAGCAAAATGGCAGCATAGTTCATCGGACGAGGATAGTTCATCCGCTCATTAGCAACATTAGCTTATAGCAGGCAGAACCCTAGTTTTTGTTTTTGGCCAAAACTAATGTAATGTACTATAAAGGCCATCTAGGAGTTTGTCTGAGACTTGGCCTGCCTTTTGAGGTACATGTAATCTTTTTTTATAATCTTGTATTTATATAGTTCTTTGTATAAGATGTGGAAAGTTATCCATTCCCATAGATAGAGAGATAGATAGATAGCTAGGGACATCCCTTTAGGAAATAACAAAGGCAAATATTTTGCCGGAAACATTTTGTGTTTTATATATCTCAAAGATGAGAGGCCTCAAATCAAGAAAAAAGGGTGCAATAATTAATTGTTGAGTGTTATTTCATATTTGTAATGTAAAGAGAAACATAGGATATGTACCTCCATTCAAAAATGAACATTGTGAACCAGCTGTGTCTCCAACTTTATTTGACCGTTGGTTCGAAAAAGAACTTTTAACTAATTTTAATTATGAGAAATGATAAAAAGGAAATCATAATGGAAGCTCGCAACGCATTTTAGGGAGAGAAAAGCCAAATGCTCCGCATTTATGTTTCTGTAAAGAGCACTAGTTCCAACTTACGTGTTTACATCAAATTATAATAATTCATATATTACAAGTAAATATGATTTAGTGATAGCAGTGCACATTCAAATACACATGTTATCTACTTATTGAGTTGGTCTATAGTTTTTCAATTCTAGAAACGCAACTTTTAGCATTGCAAACCCATAAATTCAATAGTCAATTCCTCATTCCATTTGAAGAAACAAGTTTTCAAAGAGTTACTATTATTAGTTTGGACAAACCATAAAACAGTATCAATACTGAGTTCCAACACGAATCACTCAAAAACAGGTCCAGAAATGACTATAATATGGCAATACCAGCCTAAGCTGGATATACTGCAATGGAACTTGAGCATAAAGCCTCTTTTCAACTGTGAATCATTGTACAACTAATCTAGTAGATAAATCAGGTCTTTGGTCTCATAGTCAAATAAATTTCCATGGACTTCCTACATACAGGTTAAAACCCAATTGACATCTAGTTTTTTTCAACGAGATGCTCATTTGTTGGTATACTAAATTGACTGCAGATAATCAGCATCCATGCGTTCCAGAACCCTACGAGCTTCTTCTTCGGTAGCTGGGACAACTTTACGGATTCTGAATTGAATATTTGTGGCCTTAGCCTCTGGACGGACAGTAAATGTGAAGTAGAACCTATTAGATACCTGCATTTGAGTTTAGAGAATAAGAGCAATTCCGGGATTTTGTAGATAGCTACATTAGCAACCACCTACTACTTCTGCTACAACATTAACTACTCCCTTGGTTTTGTTTATAAAGTGTTGTTTGATCAAACATGGCCTTTGAAAAGGAACAAAAGACTTCCAACACATACCAAAATTACCCTTAGACATGACATTTCTGTGGATATAAGAGCATACTATTAAGGGTAAAATGGAAAAATTGAAGTTGAAGAATTAGAAAGGTGTCTTACTTCATGGAACAAACCAAAAAAGAAAAAAAGAGTCATATATAATGGAAAAGAGGGAGTAGTTGTTTCATAGAAGTTTAATATACCTCACTAGACCTCTGCTCTGGCCTAGTAACATGAGCAACAACTTCTACATTGATCAGAGGCTGATCAGTATTCTCATGTTCAGTGTAAAGTACACATGATTTGAAACGCAAAAAGTCTCCAACATCAACCTGCAACAGTAAAAAAAATTGCACCACTGGAATAAACTAGGAAAGGAAAATGTTAAAATGATACCATCCTCTCTTTTGTTCGTTAAGCATACTACTGACTGAGCGAGCATTTCCTTTTAGCAGTATTTCATCTTTTACATGTTCACATACAGAAGTATGTAGTGCTGGAGGAACCAAGAGCAATTCTTGCATTTTGAATTGTCTAGCTAACAGGTAGTCTAATGCTGGAGGAAAGAACAACCGTCCATGTACTAGTTTTGGTCGTGGGTAACAACTATTAGGTATGCTGGTGTTGTAGGAAGGGTATTCTGGTGTTGGTGCGAGACCAACCATACCCATTGGTTAAAATATATTTAAACAGTTCCACTATGAATCAAGTTAACAGTGATAACTGAAGAGGAGAGGTTCAAGATAGTGCACTCACAGGTCTAAGGAAATTAACATGATCAACCTCCAGGAAGGATGGCATCAGACCGGCAAAAGCATAAGCTGTCGAAAATGCAAGTTCAAATGCTCTGAGCATCAGGAATCCCCCAAAGATCCGACCATGAATATTTCTTTGCTGCGGCTGGCAAATCAAAGAATTCTCAAGGCGGGTATCTTTGAGAAGAATGGTGTCCCGATCTGCCAAGGCTGGCATGTCACAGAATATTCTACCTTCAGCTAATAGTTCTTCAAGTCTGTTAACTCCCCCATTTTCAATCTCCTTTCTGTCTCCCCCCCTCTTTCTTTTCCTAAGGTTATTTCTAGCTTCAGCTGCTTCATAGAGCAGTTTTTCTGCTTCTGCCTCGGGACATAATCGATTCACTGGAGCAGCTTTCCCTGTCTTGTAATCACGAGCAACAAAAATGAAGTTTGCAGTCAGAGCGACTGATTCTGAGGGATCACTGCTCCCTGCATGAAAATCATCCACGTTAAACTGGATTCGCAGATGTCAAAAAGAAATTCAATGAGTAAAATTGACGAAGGTGAATGCATAAAATGTAAAGTTACTTTGTGGGATTTAGTTATCAAGGAAATAAAAGATATGGTGAGACAGAATGAAAGAGAAGCTAGCAGCATGCGGGGTTATTCACCACGTACTTAATGATGAGTAAGCTGTTAAACATAGGCTCCTTTCTTAGCTTTACTAACAATCTCACTGGTGTTGACGGTATAAAAAATACCACAAGTGAGAAATTGAGAGAAATGTGTGAATAGCAGGCACAGAAGAAAAGAATATTCTCTAGTTTCATAACAGTACAAAAGCATGTATTATATGACTGGGATGGACAAACGCAGTATTATTCCTACAAGGAGAGAAGATCTACATTCATGAATGGTGCATCAGGTAATTATTTGGAGGATGACAGCAATGCTGGCATACTTCAACTATTAATTGCCATGTCTAAGGGTACAAGTCAAAGACGGAACGTTTTGAAATTTAACAAGCTGATGTGGGCTTAAAATAAGAAAAAACGAGACTAGGTCTCAAAACCAGGTTTAGGCTAAGATTGTCATTGTTTTTTAACTAAACCAATTCATATACTAGGTACAGATGAAGATGGTAAGCTATGTAAAATACTTTCTGGTCTCTGTGAGTAATAGTCTTTGTTGTGAACTAAAAGATCCTTCTTTTAATAAGTATGGAAGTGATTAACTAAAAGATATTAGTTTGATACATTTGAGAAAGGCAGCTAATGACCTTGAAAATTGTTGCATGCTAATGCATGAATTCAGTTTGAGAAAATACCATTTGCTGGCTGTATAACGTCAAGTTGAATTTCAATTGAAGAAAAACCAACCCAAATGACTGCACCAACCATTTTCAGATCAGTGTCAACGCTGATCGGCTTCTTCAGCACCATTTTATCAACAGAAGCAGTTACCAAATAGAGTGGTCTAGTCATGCTATCAACGTCCGAGCAATGCTGATTCAACCAACAGCAAGTTTAGCAGACAAATTCCAATAATATGTTGAAGTACATAAGCTAGCACTCAAGAATGTCAATTTCTAAAGAAAAAGTTCCAAAAATCGTACAGTGCACCTCCATATTGTTCCTTAAAAAAAGTTGCTACTTAAAATTAAACCAAGGCAGTGTTTAGAAGTAAGGAACACATTAATTAAAGCTCCAGAAGATCCATCCAACTATCTCTAAAATGAAGATCTTGTTTGCACCAAATATAAACGAAAAAGAGAAACTTTTAACCCCCAACGTAGTTTTCCATACCCTGAAAATTCTACTATTTCTCTCTACATCACCAAAAAATTAAAAAAGAGAAATTCCACACTTCTTTCTTGTTCGACCTTTCTCATCCTCCAACATGCTAAAATCTTTTCCATCTCTTCAGCAACAGCATTAATAGAAATAGATTAGTGCCCATAACTCCACCGCAAAATTGCAATATAACCCTAGGTGATCCACATCCTCAACACTCCTCTTGCTCATGCATTACCAATTATTAGTATTACTATGCAATCCCTCCTTTTTAAGTTATCCACCATTAGGGTTAAAACACAAATGGCACCCCATGTAAAGAAAGTCACTTTCTTCAGTAACTTTTTTTTTTCCATTTCAAGGTCATATGATCTTCTAGCACTCCCATTGCATAAGCAACTATAGTACGATTTCACCAAACCTTTTTTCATGATGCTCCTTTCTATATCTTCTTTGTCAGTATAATCATAAACCACAATCTTCCCCTTCTCAGCCTCAAGTCCGCAGTATCATTGGCAATAAAACTTATCCAAGATCTGTCTTCCACTCACAAAGGCACTCTCTAAGTAAGAGATAGTTATCCGTTATTATCCTCTACCTTATTGATAGTACCTTAGCCATGGTCTTGTACATGCTCAGTACCAGACTTACGGGTCTTCAATATCAGATGCCCCCCTTCTCTTGGGTATCAAAAATATAAATGATGAATTGAAGCTCATCCCAGATGACCCACAATAATATGTATGCATTCCAATACATATTTTTTTTTTTTTAAAAAAAGCATCCAATTCTGGCCTTTACCTAAGCAACTCGAAAATAACTGACGGTTATTGGTAGGATTAGTCCTGTTGATCTGAGTCTGGGTATCTTTCATCCCATTCAGTTGATATAAGAACTCTACTGATCCAAAAAGCCATTCTCCTATTCCACCACCTCAATCTTACCAGAAAAAGTTGGTGCATCATTGAATGACCTTGAGTTAGCCATTTACCAGTGAACAAGTTCAGATCCAATCTACATTTTACTTCACCATACACTACATTTACAAGCAAATGCAAATCAAATTGTAACCTATTTGTTGGCGAGATTGGGTGATGGCTGCTCACCCGATATTACATTTGGACCCCTGATCTTGTTTGTTGTTGATATTAGGGAGAAGAGGTTCATATCTCTCTGCAGGAATTCATCTGCACGAAGTTCTTACATAAAACAAAGACAATAACTAATTCAACGTAAATCTCATCTACTCCATAATCTATCATTTTTCAATAGCTTTTTACCAAACGGTGCAGACACTGACTGGTATATTTAACACTCCCCTTTCTCCACAAAAAGAAAAGAAGAAAAAAAGAACTGATTTGTAGTGGATTTTTATGTGTCACATTTGTCTAATATATTCCTCAAATGAAGT